TTACCTAACAAAATAACAGCTCTACAAAGCATGTCCTACACCTGTTCTAGACACTACAACATTCCTTCTTCCTTGTGGATATCGATATAGCTTTAAGCACAGTATTATTATGTCCTTTATTTAAATCGCCCTTTGTTTTTATCCAGTGTGTCGGTTTTGTCCTAAAAAAGTGTATTGCCAATAGCCATTGTTTCTAAGGCAAACTCAACTTTCACCTTGAAAGGGTTCTGTTGCTTTTATTTTTGTTAATTTTCTGAAATGAATGAAATATTTATAAGAAATATAACCTAATAAATCTATGTATTTAATATTTCCTCTCCTGTGGGTTGACCCGTGCCATTTCCACCGTTTGTCCTTCTCCTCCACTCTACAAGATGCACTAGCCTTGATTGCTTGTCTGTGCTTCTCAGATGAGCGTTTTCTGAGGATTCTTCGTAAATTAACACATAAAGCCAACCTCATATTCTGGTTATGCAGATTTGTTCCTGTGACTCCCGTAAGATTTGGGCTGTAAATCCCAGCTAAGTGTCACATGAGATGATATTAACTGATAGGAAGACAAGGTATTTAGGACATTAGGTCAGGCCAGCGGCCTGCACGCCCCGCTGACTGCCGAACCTCCTCCCTGCTGTAACTCCTCGTTGGTTTGGTGCAATTTGGCACCCGTGGACACTGTGAGGAATCACTGCTCATCGCCCTCTTCAGTAGATATTGCAGTGCCTTCTCAATCTTTGCCTCTGTAACTGTCAGGGGATATGAGGGTGGATGTTTGGAGCCCAAATTTGTTAGGACTCCAGCCTCGGAAAGGAGCAGTAGAAAAGGCTGCTGTAGGTCAGAAAAGGAGTGCTAAAGTCTCTCATCTCCCCAAAAGTTAGAGGACCGGGTTGGTTCCCGAGAGATCGGGTGCCACCAGAGCGCGTCTCAGGCGCCCGTCGGAAGGTGGGATGAGTTGCCGTGTGGTGATGCCTGTTCCCTCTGTGCCGACCAAGGGGCAATACAGGCCGGTATTCCTGCACCGCCGCCGCCAGCGGGAGGAGACCGGCCGCGCAGCGAGTGCGAAGGGCTGCGACGAAGCTGCCGCGGCCCAGAGCAGCCAGGTCTGCTCCAGGGGTGCTTGGCTCCCCCCTTCCACGGTCCCCAGAATTTACGTTTGACACGTGAAGGGCCGCAGGGCAGGGTTGTGGGCCGCAGCAGCAAACCTCCGCTGGGC